CTATAGTATTTATTTGTAATAAGATATACTTTTTTTATTTTATAAGTAATACTAATAGGCGTCTATTACCTGAGAGGTAAGTATATATTCAGTTACTTATTCTAATACTATCTAGGTTATAATATAAAAGAAGATTATATAGTATATCTAAGAAATTCCTAGGTTAATCTAGAACTAAGTATAGTTAGCCTAATATTGATTATCTACTAGTAAACTATCTAAACTTCTTAACAGACTGTACAGAACCTCTATTTAGGATTACACTAAAATGGCAAAGTGGGCCTAAAAACAGGGGGGACAGTCCTTTTAGAATTAGTAAAGTAGATATACTATTCCCTAAACTCACGTTAAGATATCTAAAATTATTAAGTGTTAATCTAACTACTAAAGTAAGCTGTAACGATGGCTTAATCCTAATCCACAGTTGGTCTGTTTCTTAGGTAGTGAGTCGGGTTGAATGCTACAGAGTAGCAATGACTCAATGAGCAGTATCTTCGGCGTAAGGTCTCGTCAAGAGTAGAACTCTCAATAGTGAAACTATTGCTTAGATTGATCAGTAGAGATCTAGACTACCTAATTACGGGAATACTTCCTCCTTAAGTACCCGTCTATCTCTCTACTGTAGACCCGATCGATCTGGTCGACTACTCGACCGCTTCGCCCGCGATCGTTCGCGATCGACCCTCGATCTCTTCGGTCGCTCGCGAGGTCACGTGACTCCGCGTCCTAACTAGGCTGCCCGCAGGTCCCCTTCCTGGTCACCCTGACCTCAGGCCCCTGCTGCTGCAGCGTTCGTAACATAAGCTTACTATAATATAGGAGTTATATTACTTTAATATTATATATGATATATAGCTTAAAGTTAAAAATTATAGCCAATTCCCGACCCAGAGACGGCGATAGGGAATCCCTCGGTAGATCTACAAGATGTACGAGCGCATTGCTGATTTCTACTATTCGAAGATCATCAAAGACCAGGAGACAAAAGTTGTTGGCGCGACGCGCCCCCGGCGGCAACCGCGGACGCATAACGCCAGCATCATCGTGATCCCGCTGATAGATATCGATTCAGACAGACATGTGCCATTAAGCGCGACACTGCCACAGTTAGATCATGATGACAGGAAATGTATTCCAGGGGCAACTGGTGAGAGCATAGGCGCGACGGGCCTAGTTAGGGGCCCACTTAGCGGGTACGACTTTACATTAATCCGTGGAAGGCTCGATAGCACGTCCAAAAGCCTACAGTATGGCGCAAACGGACGTAATAGTCAGATCAAATCAAGTCAAATTAAACTACGGCGTGAGTTCCCCTGGTAAGAACGTGGGCACCTCCCCGGACGCGCCCTATCATACTCCCCGGAACGGCGACACGATTGTCCGTTGAACATAGATAGCACGTCTTTTTGCTTACACTAGAGCTATACATAGGCGTTAAAAGAACTTGTTTGGCGGAGTCTTTGAGCTGAGCGCACGATTTAGAGGAATTGCTTCTACGCCACAAAATTGTCACGAGATTAACATCCAACTACACGGTATTGAATAATCATATTTCAAAACTATACCAGGGAAACTTACCGGATGTGACGATCATCACTGGTAAACTGGCAAACAGGTAAACGGTCTACTGGCTGTAGACCTAAACATTAAGCACTAGCGCTGACCCCGCAACATTCCCGGCATATACTCACAGAATCGCCACGTTGAGAAGCCGTGACTGCAAGACATCCGTATTGTAACCAGAAGCAAATTTACTGGCCTTTGTATCTTTTGAAGATATCATAGTCATGATGCTGGGCCAGATGATGTTGAAAAGACGGCAGCGTGTGGAATATGGCTTTTTCTCTGCGCATTGCGGAGCTGGACATTGCACAAAGCGTTGCCCAATATTCTTCAGGTGCTGCGAAAGAAGATGATCTCTTGAACGATAATGGGAGTAGAAATTGCGAAATCTTTGATTTGGTGCGATGCCCTCATCCCAGAAGCACATGAAACATTGGTCTTCTTCGCACTTCTGTGGTGTGCATGGAGCGTTGAGCTTTGGTGCAGACTTGGGCGCTCGTGCTTCCTTCCGTACACCAAGTGACAACATAGCATGAGTGGTGTACAGCCTGTGTTGCAGCCGTGTAGGACCATCCAGCATACTCGTATCGGCGATAATCAGCTCCGCAAGCATTCGACGCTCGGATAAACCATGATCATTTGCGGCTGCCAGTCTCCAGCATCCAAGTTGGCATCATTGCGCAGCTGTGCGTTAATTTCGGTTGCGCTGATTGTATCAAAAAGCGTGGCGGTTTTGGCAAGTTTTCGTAAGCACGCTCGAGTCGATCGTACCTTGCTTTCCACAGTGCGGTACATTTGATATAACTTAGTTCCTGTAGATTCGGCGCTTTTAATAGTCCCAGATTCTCGGCGCACCTCCGAGCTCAAAGAATCTCGCAGCTCAATCAACTTGGCCAGCGTTGTATCCGTCTCGATTACGTTCAACTTTACGGTGCTCGCCTGTGTTGGTGCTCGAGGATCGACAGAACGGCTCATGTGGCCTGCTGCTTCCAGCAAAGCCTTATTGGAGGGTCGACCAAGGAACGCCGCCACCGTGTCACACTGCACACGTTGGTTGATGTAGGCCTGATATGTCGCTGCATCTATGTGCTGCATGACTTGCTGGAGCAGCGTTTGCGTTTCGACGGCTAGGGCCTGTCAGCACGCCATACGTTTCACAACCAGAGGCATACTTACCTTCAACGGCCTCGCCGGATCCACGTCGAATGCAGTACGGATTCAGTATCTGCATAAATCCCGTCATAAGACCGAGCCTTTGGAGATAATAAAGATAGGTATGATAGTGTATTGCCTCGATGGGTGATGTTTGGATCGTTCCTTCGTGAGTGACCAACGCCTGCCGAAAGTATATTGGTCAATCAGTGGATTGATTCCTCACCCTGGAAATGTCCCCTGCGCATTTTGTCTTAGTAGCCGTGAAGGTGAACACACACAGCAAACAACATCATGCCGAATTCGTCTGCCCCCTGCAACCATCGATCTATTCTTTCACGCCGAACCGTCGACCCGGTCTCTGCCGATCGCCACAGCTCCGACACCTTTAGCTGTCCGTCCTTCCATCCAGACAGGTACTCGCTATATTCCCGCTCCCACTCGTCGCGAGTCCTCGCCTCCCAAAGACGTTTCGCATCAGGCATGTACACCTCACGCAATTCCTCCGCGAGGAAATTAGGAGTGCAGATACTTGCATTGTACACGCTACTGAGCAGGTAAAATGCGAAAATGGCCCGGCGTTTGGTTGCGGCAATAATCCAAGACTCCCATGTCGGCCGGGTCTGAGCAGCCTCGGCTCGGGAGAGCAACCCAGCCTGTACGGTTCGAAAGGCCATCTCTTGCAGAGTCTCCATCTTTTCACTGCCGAATGGAGGGCTTCCTTGTGCCGGAAAAAAGACAGCAATGATGGAGTAGATAAGATATGCCTGAAATGAGCCAAGAGTATCGAGTTGCGTATCTGCCGTCTACGTAATATCAGTCAACAACATGAACACTCGGGAAAGCAAACCTACCTACGTAGTTTGCAAGCCTCGTCATCTCTCGCTGAATGGTCTCGGCAACCATAGTTTCACTTCCAGCCACGCGTCGATCCCATAACCTAACCAAGCTGCAGCAATTGGCCAAAGAAACACTAGTATTTCCATCAGATATCTGCATCGGGTGAATGATGGGTGGAACACAGGCATTCCCCGCGAGTTGCCTCACGTATATCCGAAGGACGCACTCAATGTACTGTAAGGTGTATGGCTGGAACGTTTTAGTGATCTGCTCTCTGAATGAAAAAAAGGGTTGCAGAAGTCGGTATCGTATATGATCGGCACCTTCGAAAGGTACAAGGTCTAAATCTGAGAAGTCTAATGCGCAGTCACCACGGTTTGCGCGAGTTGGAGGTAACGGACAAGCCTCTTCGTTCTCCACAGCTGCTCCCTCGTGCGCCACATCTGAGACATTGGAGGATATCATTGATGAGGACGCTGCGATGGCAACGCTCGGATGCGCCGGCAAACTCAAGTTAGACTGCTGAGCGAATTCAGAGCAGATAGGTGTTTTCTCTGCCGGGGTCGCATATGCGCACTGGCGGGCCGCTGCGATACACCTATGGCAGGATGGACGCTCGAGACCACAGCGGAGTTTGGACCTAGCGCACTGCAGACACGACTTTTTTCGGGACTTCTGCTTGTGGCTGGGCTGCATATTTCATCGCTGGTCGTCTTGTCGCAGCCGGGATCGTAACTAGCTGGAGTCGAAGTTGAGGTTCGGAGTCCCGAGCAATGGTCACGGCAGGGAGAAAAATAAGGAGGGGAGGAGAACAGGAGCAGATCTCCATTTCTGTTCCAGCGAGGACCCGCGCGCGCGATCCACCACAATAAAATTAAAGTTTCTAAGAAGTTGCATCTGGTCATTGATTTTATCATAGCGAGGGCATGTTGATCGATGACACTTCCTAAAAAAAGTGCACCAAGCCGACTGGTAATGAATTCCCTTCCAGCACATACTACCCCATGCAACAACCGAAACCACGCCTGATTATCTTCGACGAACTTTTTCTAATCCCCCGCAATACTTGTCGATTCATCATGTATTGCATAGCCTTCCTCGACTGCCGTCTTCGCCACACCCGATGACTGCACCCTTTCCCTGATCGATCCGCCCAAATATTGCCTCTGCTCGGGACTACTAAAGCACCACGACCCAGTGTACTTCACTTGATCCGGGCAAATTCGAACCCAGCCTCTTCCTCCCACACATGAATATACCGTCCAGGATGCGGGTTTCTACCGTTTGTTTTTCCCATTCGTTGTGTTATTACAAGTCAGCGGTCGATCGCGCGATTTTCTGGTACCATACCATTGTCGCCGATTACCTTTCTGCGACAACTCCGTCGTGCTTCGCAACAAGCATCATCTCGCGTAGCGCTTGGACAGGGTCAGCAACAATCAATGTTAGTCACGCCTTGCGAGGCGGCCAGTTATCTAGCCCGGTCTAGGGGATCAAGGCCGTTCTCGATCCCCGCAACATGGTCTTGGGTTGCGCGACGGGCGAAGTCGCACTGATTGAGCCCGAACCACACCCGATGTCTAGGATTCTGTGACGCCGGAGTGATGTGCGGTAGGAGGTAGGTGGCGCAATTGGACAATGTGCGCCAACCGTGGTTTTCGAGGACAAAAGTAGACTGGTCAGTTATGTAGGTAGCCATTCTTGTTACTGAACTGTCCTGGGACCTGTCGAGCTGAGAATAAATTGTAATTTGGCAGCAGACGGAAGCCAAGTAAGATTCAACGCCTTTCATATATACGCAAGCGCTCGTGTCAGCCACATCGGAGTTCCGGACCTGGCTCAAGCATGTGACGGAAAAGGCGGCGCCACAGATCTCCTAGCGGAACAGGCAATGGAGCGAACAAACCCCAATTCCCGAGTGTCACAGAACCTCGTGGCTTATTACGGATCGTGTCATTTGCGCATCGACGTATATTGCGTGGCCTACCTGTCTGTGTGCTTCTAGCGTGGTGTTCGTCGAGAAGTTCAGCACAGACATGCAATTAATCGATGTGATCAATTAGTGATCTAATTGAATCTGAATCCGAGCCTAGGATTAATTCACTGTATCACTCTGCCCAGGATTAATCAAGTTTCAGCGATTCATTAAAGAGGGTCATTCAGCCAGTACAAGAAGATTATTGGGCAATTCCGCCCATTAACTCGCGTCTCTAAAATCATTAGTCAAGGCGTAGCATACATGGCGGCGATCTCGGCACCATCCTTTGACGTGACCGGCGAAAATGTCTCCACGGGCGAGTCACACCACTTGGAGTTCCCTTGCTCCGCGACTCTTGGAAAGCGCTCTCGAACACCCACGGCGCTAAGCATTTGGGCAGAGAGCCGACAACCAAAATGCCACGAGCCCGAGCGCAACAGGCACGGCCAGAAGACTTGGTACTGCAAACGCTGCTCCTACTCTCAAGCCGCCCATAATACAGTACGCAGCCATCTCCGGGACAAGCACTGCATATGGATTGCTGAACAACAGACAGCCAAGAAGCTTGGCCAAGACATTGCCATCGACAGGCTGTTCAAGCAACAAGCTGTAAGACAAGAAGGCCACGATATTCAACAAGATTGGCGCCTTCGAGCTGCTATCCATGAAGAGGCGTACAACCAGGCATTAGTCAGCCTCATCACTGTGCATAGCTTGCCGTTTAGCCTTGTTGAGTGGCCAGAATGGTATGCCGTACTTCATACTGTCAATCGCATGGCGCCGGCTACAGTCACGCAGAGCCGGGGTCAAGTCCTGAGGCTTTTGGAGGCCAGCTTTTCGTCCCATCGCGAGGCTCTAGCATGCAATATTGCCGCTTCCGTCACTCAGATACATTTTATTACCGACACCCGGTCCTCTCCCAGTCAGCATGCTCTTCTTGCTATTGTGGCCCACTTCATCAACGACGACAGTAGGCAGCCCTACGACAGCTCAAAGGTGCACACAGCGGCGATTCCTTAGCAGGGATCTTTACGGAAGTTATTCATTCATACGGGATGCGCGACAAAATCGGCTACTTCACCTTAGACAATGCATTCAACAATGACACCATGCTGCGCGCTCTCGTCAACACCTTCAGCTTCAACCCAGCTCATCGCCGGCTGCGCTGCCATGGCCATATCATCAACCTGGCCATGCAGACATTCTTGTTTGGGAAGAACAAGGATGCTTCCGATGAGACGATGCGTCATGTGACAATGCTGTCCCGCAGGGAGCATGATGGCGTGGGCAGAAGGGCTGAAACAGCGCAGTCCTGGCGGCAACACGGGCCTCTTGAGATATTGCACAATCTGGTGGTATGGATTCGCTCATCGATGCAACGATATCAGGCTTTCGTGCAGGCAGCCGGACGTATGATCCCGCAAGACAATTCCACAGGATGGAACTCATAGTACCGTATGATCCATGTTGCTCTCAGCCTTCGAAGGGAGGTCAACAGTTTCATCGATGACAGATACTCCGACAGTGATATTGGACTTGATAATTTCATCTAGAGCATTGGCAGGAGCTGCAGGAGCTACACTCTTTTCTAGAGCCGTTTTACGAAGTAACTAAAGATACTCAGTGGGATAGGTCTTCATTAGATGAAGTGATTTACTCCATGGAATTTTTTTATTACGCACTATAAGGCTGCTATAAAGCGGTAACGATGCAACGTCATAATGACTGATTGAATTATGACGAGTTGGTATAAATCCGACGATTACTACACCCAAACCGATGATAGCCTGGTCTATGTAGCTGCTATTCTGCTTCACCCTAGCCTCCGGATGGCGTATATGACAGAAGCGTGGAAAGACTAAGCTTACTATATTAAACCGGCGATCCGAGCTATGCGTACACTACAGGAAGACTTCAAGCCAGAGAAAGATCCTGAAGTCGAAGAAGACCTATGTGCTTACGAGACATATAAGAAACGAATCTATCAGTCCTCATCCACTCACGATAAGTTCAATCGATTCATCGAGGGGCCCGCTTTGCTAATCGGAGCATCCTCTGCCCTCGCTTGGTGGCTTGAGACTACTTAAAAAACATCGTATCCTTCGCTTCAACTTTTTGCCATAAGCATTTTCTCTATACCAGCGATGTCGGCGGAGGCCGAGAGAGTGCTCAGTGGGGCAGGCGTACTGTTTCCTGGGATAGAACCCGGATGTCTCCGAAGATGCTGGAATGTACAGAGTGTCTGAAACACTGGATTGGTAACGGCGTTCTTAATCGGCCATTTTCACATTCAGAACCGTTTGGTATTGAGCTAGATACTGATGAAGCCAATGCAGTGGATGATTCCTAGACTCCTGGAGCAGGTGTACTGGGCACAGCAGGATGATGCTGAGACTGTGAATTACGTAACGAATCATTGAATCATCAATAAATCCTTGAATTCAAATGCTGATTCAGTAATTAATCCGATTCCGGCTCAGGATTCGGATTAATCGATTGATTACATGTCTGGAGCATCTTCAGGCGGCAAGAATCAGAGCCGCTGGATTCTGACAGGACAGGTGTCCCTGCTGCCGAAGCTACCTGTACTGGGGTATCCCGCTAGTCTACCGACCTTTTTTTAGGTACTTTGCTCAATGTACCTGGCAGCACCACCACTTCGTCCTTTTGGAGCAGAGCCTGTAAATGATCTCTGCCACGTTGCCGACAAGATGCCACCACCCTGCATCCGAAGTGTAGCCTCAGAAGAATCCATATTTCCGTCTTCCTACATCAATTTGTGCATAAACGAGTGGGCTCTTTTGGAAATAATGGACCTTGAGGAGGTTTCTTGTCTCAGAGAGCTTGAAAATTGAACAAACCGAGTCTCCATGTATGCGCCCCAAGATTCATGGCTTTCCAGTGCAGTCGCGGTCAAGCCTTTGTCGGCCCATCTTCGCAAAATTAAAGTCGCACTTTTTTAGAGTTTATCCCGGCTTAATCGCTACAAAGCATCTGGTAAAACTGACAGAGCTATGCTTGCTGGTCCTGGTTTACAGATCTACCGCACTCTGCCCGCGGACTCAGCTATCGACGTCACAACATGGATTCTTTTTGTCAGGGGCAGATGATCTTCTGCTGCCTCAGGCACAATTTCTGCCCGTAGCACACTAGGCGATTTCATCTCAGACTCACAAATCTCCAAGCTGTGCATCTCTCTACCCGCCCATGGTCGTACACCGAACGAAGTTCTCCAGCAATACGGCCCTGTTGTCACCTTCGTTATTTGGTATCTTCAGCGTCTTCAAGCGTCTTCAGTGACCTTCAGTATGTTTAGTGATCTTGCGAATATGTGATGGGCCACTAGTAAGTTGATTCTGCTATCTAGTTCCTATGCTGCTTACTACAGTATCACGATGAAGAAATAAATCGAAAGAAGTGTGGAATAGCAGAACAACTCTTTATAGCTTGGGGTCGATGGAAGGTTCTAGAAGCTCGGCGGCACAGCCGCCGCTCATCCGGCTTGCCGGTTACATCAAACACCTCATATGATTGACAACCCACCCATCTCTGCCTCACTAACTTGACCAGTCATAACCACCCACTTGCTGCTTTTCCGCCTCCTACTTGCTTCCTATCTCCTGCTGGGCCTGCTTAAACGCCTCCTCGAGCGAATCCTCGATAGCCTGCTGCGCAAGCAGCGCCACAGCCGCGACCCTCCACCGCCTCAGCTCCGGCGAATCGCCCTCCTGGCGTTTGCGCGCGAGCACGGAAACCTTGATAGGACCCGTCGGAGCGAGAGCTTCGCCGGGCGCAACGTCGGGGCCACCTCGCCGATGGCGTCATTGCAGACCCCGGGCAGGATCTCCTCCAGCACCGCGTCCACCTCGGCCGCGATGACTTCAAGGGAGACCGGCGCGGAGAAGACGGTGACGCCGCCGACGGCAAATGAGCCGGTCAGCGCGGCACCGTCAATGCCCGTGGCACCGGTGACCATAGCAGCTTGGCTCAGGCCGCCGTCGCCGATGAGGGTCCCGGCTGTCACGGCGATGCCGCCCAAGGTCTTACTTACCCAGCCGCTGCCGCTGCCCTTCTCTAGATCTTGGGCGGTCTTTATTTGCTCCTGGATAGCCGTTTCGCCCTCCGCTTTAATTTGCTCCTTCGTACTGCTGCCAGAGTCCTTGCTGCCTACCTCACCCGTTTTCTTGTCGCTGTCTTGCTCATGGCTGCTGTTGTCCGTTCCCTTGTTCGTATCTTTGCTAGCATTTTTCCATCCTCTTTCTTGTCATTGTCTTGTCCCTTCTCTGGTTCCTTGTTGCCACTATCCCTCTCTTTGTTCTTATTTTTGACCTCCTTGTCCTTGACCTCCTTATCCTTGACCTCCTTGTCCTTGTCGCCCTTGTCCATATCTCCCTTGTCCATCTCACTGGGGACTGCAGCTTCTCAAGCTGCGCTTCTATCTGCCTCTGGGTTTCTGCCAACTTAGCTAAACCCTTTTCCGTAGCCGAAACTTCCGACTCGAGAACCTTTGCCTCCAGTTTATGGAGTACAAACACATCACGGTGGTTGAGCTTTCCGAGCTGAAGAGGGGGGAAACTATTCGGGTTCGACTTCAAGGCTGTCTTGGTTTCCAGACCCTTTTGCACCTTGTCGACCACTTGCTTGATGTTGGAGGCAAACTTTTCCGCCTCAGTGGTGACCTCATTGTCAGATACTGGCTCTTTCACGCTCTCGTCAAACTTGGTTTTGTAGTCCTCGACCATTTTTTCGTCCGCTCTCAACGAGGTCAACAAGAGATTTACTCGTGCCTGGTTGTAGAGACGAAAAGGTTTCAAGTTGTCCTCAATGAACATCCAGTCGTTATACTTGATCATGTATTCAACCGTCTGCTGAGCAATGTTATGCAGAGCCTTCAAGGCAGTGTCGGCTTTAGCGCGGGCAGCTTCCACGTCTTTCACAGAGGTAGCTATCTCAGCCCCGGTACGAGCGGCTTGAGAATCCTTGAGAAGCTGTTCTGCTGGCTTTTGGACTTTCTGAAGCTCCTTCTCAGCTGGAGCAGGCTCAGATGGCGGCTCCTCTCCTTCAATAGGTGGACTCTCAACTTGTTTGCCTGCCTCAGCTGGCCAATTCTTCCTTTCGGGACCAGTTACCTTGTCCTCGACTTCACTCTCCCTGATATCGCCCGGACCACAGTCTCTTTTTGTGTCGTCTCTTCTGCAAGGTGTACCCTTTTCTCAAAGACCTTTGCTCCAGATGCATCCTCTATGTATTTGAATTCATTGCCTTGATAAACAACATTAAAGACAACCCTGGAACCTCCTAAGCAGTAACAAGGGAATTAGCAAAACTTCTTCATCCAGGCGAATGAGATGATATATTGCGCTACAACTTATCACCCATTGGTGAGATCTTGGACTTTCATAGCTTTCCACCAACCTTTCCTTTGCATGGCTCTGCATGGCCGCCGCGATGTCCTTACGGGCGTAGTGCAGTCCATTGGTACCGGTGACTCAGTCGCCACGAACTCCGAGCTTGATCCATTTTCCTTCACGAGTGAGCGCCTTGACATCCCAACCCGATTTGACATTGTTATCTGCAGCATGCTCTGTGATGCCAACAAAGTTTTTATTCGCCGTGACGATGGCCCGAAATTTTCCGCGAACAGATGGATCTGCCTTTCGTATTAGACTTATTGACTTGAGGACAGACTCCGAGTTTGGCATGAGCGGCTCAACTACTTACTTTTGGTCAAATCAATCTCCGTCAGCTTTGCTCCAACTCCTTCAAATAAGTTTTTCTTGGGTACCCATTTGTTGCCTTTCCACTCCACTCCATGGTTCCCAAAGGGCTTTGGTGGATTCACAGGGTTTTTGATGGCTGCGAGGATATCTTCACGTTTCCAGGTATCACTCCCAATAACAATCTCCTCGGGGGCTCTCATGTCTCTCTGCCGTTCGGGGACACCTCTCTTGAGAATCTGGCCATGATCAGGAGCATACCCGGTGGCCCGTGAGGTAACCAAGGAAGCAGCAGCCAAACCAAGGAGGAAGGCACGCTGGAGAATAAACATTATAGACTAGAATGACTGCCTCTAAATCGAAATAGAATGGCTCGAGTCTCTTATTCTGATAAGCTGAATCCAAGTGGCAAGAGTATAATTATGTCTTCGGCTCGTCTGTCTTATATAAATGAATCCTTTTGTATATGGTGGGGTACATCGTAACCGCTATTCTGGCTTTTCAACCTGGAGCACCTATTTTGGTTTTGACGTAGCCTTGTGTCTATAGATAGATGATCACCATTTTCGTAACACTTGCTGTGCATGGAGAACAGAAATGAGCCTACAGGCTGCCGTAATGCACTGCTAAAGACTGGATCATGCTTGATTATAGAAATCGTATGATAAAAAGCGTATGACGAATAGCAAGGATATTAAGAAGTTCTGGTTCAATATCAAGAAGCTCATGATAATAAGTAGCAAGAAGTTAAGTGGGGTTTGTGTAATGGTATGAGTGTAGTAGTGAATGGGGCATGCAAACATTTGACACCGTGATATCCGGAATAGGTGTGTCGTGGCTTTTGAAACTTAGTCAATCAGTTTAACAAGATGGCGATCAACGCATTGCTACTCGGATCACAAGGGTTATCCCATCACGCCATACACTCGCCTACAACCGGTGCTTTGTTTCACAGCCATGGCAGAACACTGTTAGAATAAATTTTACCAGATATATGCCATCTAATTAAGCATTATGCCAAGTGATCGCGCCATAGTACGTGACACTAAATTGGCCTGCGCGTGCCTGTGAAAATATGCACCACTCCGGTTAGACGGGCCACCGGCTGTCGTTGAAGCCTTTACGTCAACATTTTGGCCTCGAACCTTGTTCATGAAGGTTGCTGTGCATCTGACTCAAGGCGCAATCTATCACTCCACCCGTACTACAATGGCATCAATTACACAATCATTCAGCTACTACTATGTTAAGCTAATTTGGAAAGGCTATGCAATCACGATGCAAAAGAGTATAAATACAAGGTACCCAGTCACTTGGAGAGAAGAAGTCCGACTCAAGAGAACTATCACTCAAGTGTACAGACCGATTTCAACGACTGCATCTTCAGCACGAAATCCTGCCAAAATGGCCAAGTTATCCAACCTTTTTGCTACGGCTTTATTCGTGTACAATGTCATTGCTAAGAATGGCAATGGTTCCCCTGTTAGTGAATATTCCTCACGATCTTTCCCACGCACAAAGAACCCAAAAACGCTAAGGCGAACTATTTATGGCTAGGATGGCAATCAGCCGGCTAGTGGAGGTAGTAACAAGGACATTGAAGCCTCGTGCTCGACGCCAGAGTGCTTCCAGAGCAAGAATCTGTCTTACTACATAGTATACTCTCCAGAATGTACCGGCCGGGGGCGACTTACAGAAGAAGTCTGCCTGAGATCGGACGCGTGGTGCAGCCATAGCGGCAGGGCCAAGCTCTATGGGTCCAGAGAAAAATGCCTGGAACTTCGTCCCAAGCCGCAGAGCAAGGCCTCGTGGCAGCCTAAGAGCGACGCCGCTTGCAGCGATGAGTCGGAATAGTGTCTCGGGACCGACAACGCGTGCTCCAGTAGAGACAACGAAATTCTCGTTGCGGAAGGCGTTGACATGGACCTCAACGTGTTCAAGAAGCTCTGTCTTGATCAGCGCTCTAAGCAAGGCGCCGCCGGCCAGCCCGAGCAAGGCCCAGCCCGCCCAAGGAAGACGAGAAGCCGTCCGCAGCCAGCCTTAAGCCGAATATGCAGCCCGAGACGCCATCCTTCCAGCTGCCCGACTCCGAGGGTTGCTCCAAGCCCGGCGCCGACGAGGAGCCGTGCCTCGGCAGCATCGCCTGGTGCGACAAACACGGCCAGCAGCGGGTCCTGGGCGACAAGAATACCTGTCTCTTGACCCGCGGACTGGACGTTAAAGCGTTTGAGGAGGCGATTCGAGAGGGCTTGATTGCGCCGGTCAAGGAAAGCATTCTCACGTGGGCGCAGAATGTCACGAAAAATGCGGCCTTCCGCGAGGTTCTGCTGAGATCGACGGCGGAGGCGGCGCAGAAAAGCATAACGACCGACTTGTCTGGATACATGACCAAGGTCCAGGCTTCTCTAGAGAGGCAGGCGCTCGAGGGTCTGCGCAAGGGACTCGAAAAGTATGCCGGACAGAAGCTCTCTAGGCAGGGGGGCACGGATAGACCCGAGCAATACTTCTGACCTCGCTAGTAAAGGTTGCGTCTAATTAGACCTTATTGAGTACATGGCACAGATCAACAAATAATGGATAATCAGTGTTGAGTTAATGCTGATCTGCACAATCACTTCTAATGTACTATCTCGAGGATTAGTGAACACGCCCCCTCCCCTAGCAGTAGTTACAATATAAGCTAGCATAACAATTAATTTTATGTAGTATCAGGTCAGTGTGGCTAACAGACTGACAGCCCTAGATTGGCCCTTCCGGCCCGTCGGTCTGGGTTCACGAGGGCTTGCGGTCCGCCTGTCTAGGTCTGTCCGGAGTGAAGGGGCCAAATCCCGAGTGAGCTGCGCTCGTATGATAGCTGACTTCGCCCTCGACGTCGACCAGTGCTAATTTCCTCAAGACTCTTATGACTTAGCATCTATTTTACTAAACTCAGCTGTCCTGGGTTTCTCTCAGACTATTACCCAGTATGACTTCTTGAGCGGCTCTGGTTAGGGGCCCATCGTACTCTACTCATAACTCAAGAACACCCGTCGCATGCTCTCAAGTCAGAGGTAATAGTGCTTGTATAAATCCCTACTAAATAAATTCACAACCGTAAATTTCATGCTCTTGGCTGCCTGTCGGCCGCGCCGACCCAGATTTGACACGACCCTAAATGTGCGATGTCCCAATTCACTAGCTTGACAGGTAGGTTTTCATACTTTGCGAATCAGTGAAATGACATATTCAATGCAGCCTCAAAAAGATGGAGACTGAGGAGTTCGTGTGCGTGAACATCGATTATCTGTCCCAGCTGTTTAGCTCGAGTCCCTATCACAATAGGATTGCCTAAAGTATAGTTAATGCACTGTATTTAGACAATACCATATTATAATATCATATCGCACGGCAGTGCAAAATTCAATCATCCCAGCGTTAAGCTAACCCAATTCGGTAAAGGCTAAAGTTCGATATTCATCGCTTACTAGTCAGGACGCACAGTAGTAATAGTCACCTTCATATAACGTCCGCTTCTAGTATACTACTCTTGAATAGGACCTCTATTGATGTGGCGCGGTAGTGACTTCACAGAGAGGTTTCGCAGCCTAACAAGAATATTCAAGTCTAAGTATTTACACATTTATATATTATTCATAGCTTTCAGTATCATCTACTTTACTTATAGAGCCCTCTTATTCCTCTTCTCCCGTGACTGATATATCTAGGCTAAGGCTAACGTCATCTACCTAAACCACTTTATAAGAGTGCGACCACGAATTTATACACTTAGTTACCTTAATTATGCCAATCCCTTGTTACGAACGAAGCAGCATGAGGCAACCGGGGAGGCGGCCTGAACCGAAGACTAGGCGGGAGCCTGCGCTTCACCCAATTAGGATAGGACGTCACGTGACTGCACAAAGGATCACGGGCGCGCCGTGATCCAGGCCTACATTCATTCGTTCATTGTTTATTACGCCCGGTAGCTTCCAGCCAATAGGGCTCACTAGCTATTATTCAATACACTTCTGGCTGTCTTCCCTCAATTCCTCAACCTTGTTCGTGTTCTTGCTGATCGTCTTGCAGCTGCCTTTCCCCACCAACTGTCCGCATCTAGTTCTGTTTATTGCAGATGACTAGCTAGCTTGAGGGGTATTCCCCAAGTGTTCGGAGTCCTATTCTCAGCGACCGAAGCGTCAAAAGCCACGTCTGTCGATGCTGACCGCTGTGTAACGGGAAGCTGATCTGCATTACGTGTAGCAAAAATCTCGAGCCAGGCTGATTTCCTTTCAGTTGTCAAAGCGTCTTGTCGCAAGTGTAAACCGTATCGTCGCTCGAACTGCACCCACGTGCGATTTCCGTTTCGCTCCGTCTGATCTCGACTCCCCTCCCAATCGGAGGGACAAATCATTCCATCTCGTGTTCGTGCTTGCTCGCAATTCTTTTCACTGTTCGTCCCATTGCGGGCATTGGAAGAGGAAATGCTCCACCATTTCCCTCGTGTGCCCGCATGGGCATTGTTCCGAAGTCACTGCCTTGATGCGCTGGAGATAACTATTCAGTTTTGCCATGCCTGTTCTCAATTGCGCAAGCGCTGAGCGCTCCCTTCATGACCATTCCTCGTAAATCTCACGTGTGTGGCTCCCAGGAAGAGCGGCATCAAATTTCTTGGAGAACTTTCCTACGCCTTCAGGCAAACACCGTCCACCCCGAAGTTTCCTTCGTTCAATGTTCAAAGTCGTGGACTTCATCAGCGGAACTGAACCTCGGGTGCCGTGTCTTGCTGTGTTGCAGTCTTTGCTTGTAACTTGGCCGCTTGCAACAGTTTGTTCTTATCCGATGAATCCCAGTCTACAGCAATGATGATTGCCTTGCCAATCAGCTGATCTACCGAGTCGTAGATGCATTTGATGAACTCTTGTCCTGATTGCTGATACGGCCGATTCAGGACAGCCACCGCTCCCCTGTTGCGCGTGAAAAGGGCGATATCCTGATGCTCGCTGTGCGGCAGATTACGCAATGCATACGCCATGGCCGCCAATCCGCCTGAGAATAGGTTCTGTTCTGTTCATGCTCCCAGGGTGAAGGAGAACACCTTCCGCTTCGACTGCCCTGTCGCGGCATTCTCGGTCTCAATTACTCCGCCAACACCAACTATGCGTTTCTCGAGGAGCAGCTCACAGCAACAGCTTGCGTCCATCCTGCACAGACTCCGTCATTTAAGTCGCTCAGTGACACCCGTAAACGCTCTCTCCATGGTTCCAGTGACTATGGTTGGATGGTCTCGAGTTGCGCCAGCGGTAGATCCTTCAATTTCTCGGCCATCTGGTAGAGAGGTGATCGAAAGGACGTGTAGTACTTTCTGATCCGTTTGGTCACCCTGCTGAGCGGATTTGTTCCTGGCAGCATGTGCAATTCAATCCACATCTTGATCGCTCGTCTCCCAGAAACGCTCCCGCGCGCTCACGATATGGGCTTCAGCCTCCGCAACGGCCGTCGCTACAGTCATAAATTGCCTACAATGGCTTGCGTCCCTGCACGTGGGACGCGATTTATCGGCCCAATCAACTTGTCTTTGTAAGCATGCATCCACCCATTCGAAGCGTAGTCCATAATTGGTGCTAGCATTTTGTGAGTAGGGGTTCGCTCGCTTCTGTCCATTTCTTGACCGCCGAGCGAGGCGTTGTTTATGCTGGGCCGCAACCACGTCTTTCCGCTTGGTATATCTCCTTTCTCGCTAGTGGCTGTGAAGCCGTGAAAGTACTGCGTGTGACCTCATGGGACCACAACTGAGGACCGAAATTTGCCTTGCCTCCTCTTTCTCGGCTGTTGCGCTAAAAACGAGTCGAAAACGGCTCAAGGTGTGCTTGCTGGAAGACATCATTTATGCACAAAGATAGCGAGATTATCTGGCCTTTGCTTGCCTCGAAACAGCCAGATGCCTTCGTTCAGTATTCTCAAAGCTACCACCATCGGATGAGTCTCGCGTTTTCGTTCTAGAGATAGCCGCAGAATGGCACGTGTAAAGACTCAAGGGAGAAACAGGCGATATTGCGACTGCCTTGGGACAGAATCCTGGCTTAACAAGTCACGATAACTAGGTGATACTGCGAGAATCAACACGTACGTAACATTTCATCGGTGTGGTTTGCAGCTGGCTGTGAAAAGTAACAGTCAAAAATGGCGTTTCATTGCCTGCACAAAATGTCCAGTAGTACTTTGGAGGACCAGAAGGTACAACAGCGGTACCCCACGCCAAAAGAGTCTCCCACTATTTCCCCAAATTAACTTGATCCACCTTTGTGTGTAGACATCACCTTTCGTTTCTCTTTGACCTCGAGCAGCGCGAGCATGCACTAGGCCTGCAGCCCGACATACCAGTCTGTGACATGGACAGCAGAGTGGCTATGGCAATGAAGGAGGAATCTTGGTTGGGACCCTGCTGAGCCGCTCCACAGGCCCAGCTCCGCAAGGGTAGACACAGATCAACATTCTACCTGGACAGTAGGCAAGGGCGGAAACTTAGTACTAATCAATAACGCGGTGGAGTGCTAGGCGTACCAATACTACCGGTTCCGTCGGCGGGCCGAGGGAAAGAGGAGGTCCACTCAGGAAGCGCTCACTCAGTGGCCTAGGGAACAAGAGCAGAAGACAATAGAGATGGCAGAGACATCCATAAATCAAAATAACGAGCGATGAGGTAGCTTATTATGCTTTAAGACAGATTGTCAGATTCAGCGCAAGATGATTTTATGCATGCTATATATATATTTGATCTTGTTTATTCTGATTGGTGAGGCTGTGTGATGAGAACCATGTCGGATTTCAACTGACTCAACATGCCTGTAAATTAAAAACTACCGCGCCTTACTCAAACGATGAATATAGCATTATCATATTATCATGGAGGGTATAGCCGCCAGCCGCTATACGAGATTAGGGCGTTAAGATATAAAATGGCTGCGCACCACGTAACTTACTTTCCAACCCTCCTTCCCAACTAACTTTCCGATCCTCCTTTCCAACCAACTTGATACACGACAACCGACGGATTCAAATGGATGAAATAACGGAGAGGAGCAAACTCCTGCTCAATGTCCTTACGCCCAGGGGTTCGAGCCGGACACGAGTTGGGTACGCTGCCCAACGCCTCAGCACCGTTGCCGGTCAGATGACCGAGCATCTTCTTTTATACACTTGTCTGCTTCTCTACTCCTTGACTCTACTCCCGATCGCATCGGCTCAGCTCAACTTCACGCCGGGACCAAGGCCCATTCCTCTCAATCACAATTGTCTGGGCGAGTTGATGTCGTCCGTTACCGATACTACGCCAGACTATTTCGCCAACAGGGGCATCAATCGCGTCCGCCAGCTCCCATTCGAGTTTGGCGGCGATGCAAGCTTTGCCACCTTTGTGTCTGCCATTCCGGCCGACAAGAAAGTTTTGGTCGACCTGACCGAAGACAACAGGCAGGAGTGTAACCACGTCGAGTCGATTACTGGATACTCGCCATTTTCGACTTGGGGGCGGCGCTCGAGGCTTCGCTACTCTGCTAAACTTTGCAAGGTTCGAACCCGGGCCATGCCTCTTCGCGAATTCTTAATCGACAAGGACTTGCAGGGTGTTGAGTTTCATGCTTCCGGCGGCCCTTGATCGTCTGTTCACCTAGACGTCTCTGCTCATTGTTAGCACGTAATTCTGGCGTGCTGTGTAAGGGAATAGAAAGCTCAGGTCGCGATACCAATACTTTGGATCCGTACAATGGAATCACTGTTCACGCTGAACAGGCCTAGCGGGTTAGGTCCAGCCTTTCGGTACAATAGGTGGTGCACGTACATATTACAGTTTCGAGAGCAGGGGATAAACAGTGGGGTTATGGCTAAAAATACAGCAGGGTTGTTGGTGTCGTCAGAAGATTTTGCACAAATATACAGGAGCAACTGTGTGCTTGCATTACTTTTTGTTGACTCCAGAAACAATCAATATGCAGATCAACAAGTTCCCATCATGTACTCTATAGTGCGTAACATGGCCGTGATGGCTCAAAATATTTCACATACGATGAAGCAATTCCTTGCACTTCTTGACCTATATTTGTGAGCAGTGTCGCTAACAATCAGGTTCAAACTTGGCAAGTCTCAATCAAGCTTGGCCGCATGTCAAGTCAAGTTGTCAAGTCAAGCTTGATGCCGCCATTCAATCAGTCAAGTTCGAGTGTCAAGCTGTCAAGTACTTGACGCTCGTCGAATCTATAAAAACTGTGCAAACTGTAAGTCAAGAGGACGAGCGATTAGACGAGGTGCGTCAGGACGAAATGATCCGAACCCACCCATCCATTTACTCATCCATTTCTCATCCATTTACTCATCCATTTACTCATCCATTTACTCATCCATTTACTCATCCATTGACTCATCCATCCACTTACCCAGACTGCCCCCAAAAATGCGCAAGGACGCGTCGAATCAACGCGTTATTATGTCTCTAGATGCGCTTTGAGGTACAGGCAGTCATAAAGCAGTCGAAGATCCTCCTTTTACAGGGAAGTTCATGTGAATTACCCGATTAGCAATAGTACATCAAGTGCTTGACGAGTCGTCAATCGAGCCGCCTTCATAGTCAAGTCAAGCTTCAATCAAGCAAGCTCGAGGGCTGAAATTGGGCTTAACTGATTGTTAGCCACACTGTCTGTGAGGCTCTGAGAATAACGCCTATGAACACGAATATTTAGTTTAATCGGTCAAGGTGAGTTGCGTTACTCGTACGAAAATAGCCCCGAAACTAGGCTTGCATAAGTCACATTTGCAGATGCGCAACCGCTCTTAATATTTTAGCGGCCGCCAGACAGCTACAGGTTCCGATAGCAGACTCTGCTAATTTGTACTGAGATTTGAGTTCAATCTAGATTCCAACCCCGTTCCTAGCAGGTGGCAAGGTAGACGCGCTAGTTAGATGCCGTTCATTCAGACAAGTTGAGATCGGCTAGAAATTTCCGGCATAGTTCTGTAACCTCGACGAGTCCTAGTGCGAGCAGTTTGTCCAATAAACAAGTAACTTGATTTGGTTGGTTGTGATTACTCGATACTTGTCAACCAAGCAAAGTAAAGACTTCCTGTCAACCAAGCAAACAACCTGCTTCTATTCCTTGGCTTTACTTGGCTTACTTGACATGCTTGCTAAATGGGCATAACGCAGTGGTTCGAATTGTCTGCGCGTTGTGATTGGCTGTGAGATCCCAGTGCACCTACCTCTCAATTTTCTTGCCTAGTTCCTAAACACTTAGATTACTTTACTCCATGCTAAGAATTGCGGCTGGCTTAGAGCCACGCTGGCTTAGAGCTCATGTCAACAGCCTTGATGTGGAAGTGGAAGATCCGTTAGAGTGGTGGATTGCTCACGCGGCTGACTATCCAATCCTCTCCAAAATGGCATTTGATTTGTTCAGCTGCCCAGCAATGAGCGCCGAGTGTGAGAAGGTATTCTCACAGACAAAGAAGTTCATCACTGATGAACGGAATCGTTTTCATCTGGACACTGTTGCAGCGATTGCATGCCAAAAACATCTGCTTCGGACTTGTGTTTTGCCATAGAAATGCCTATTTTGGAATAGCCGTCAAGCAATATCAACCAACTAAGGACTTTTTTGTGACCAACCAAGTAAAGCAAAGGCCTCAGCCAACCAAGTCGAGTAAGGAGGCCATATCTTGGTTGACTTGGTTGTTGGACACACTGCGGACCGACCACTAGAGGAGGAAGACATTGATGTGCTTGGCCGGCGCGATATCGACGTGAACTATGACTGGACCCCCCATGTGGGACAATACACCGACTACGGAATTCTCACGGGTGAGTACTGGAAGCAACGCAAGGCGGAGAGCACCGTCAACCTCACCATAGAGTGGAAGCTCGTGATTCCCTGAATCGGGAGCAGCGCCTAGTGTATGATACGGTAATGGGCCACTTTGTGACCCAGGACTGCTCCCAGTTGCTTCTCCACGTCGATAGAGGAGGCGGCACAGGCAAGTCTTACCTCATCAATCTGCTCTCGGCACATCTCCACCGCCGCGAGTGCAAGGGGGACGCCTGTCTGGCGTGCTGCGCCAACGGGTGTTGCCGAAATCAGATATCAGGCACTACCTCGCATTCTCTATTGCGCCTCCCGATCAACAAGGACTTCAAGCCCCTGTCGGCGATCGACAAGGCCCAACTCCAGAAGAAGCTGGAGGATAACCGGTATTTAATCATCGATGAAAAGAGCCTGCTGGGTCTGCGGCAACTATCATGGCTTGACATCACCCGTCGGCGGATCGCTAGAGGGGTTTGTGGTCCCAGAAGGAATGATCTGTTGGGCCATATGCGTGCTGATATATCTCTTTTTCAGGGTTATGGGGTTTCGCTTTGGTATAATTTCCCGCCTGAGCCCTTTTGTCACTGAGGCTCCTGTTCCCCGGCTGGTTGCTAAGAGCGGATCTTTCTTCGAGTTGCTAGTGGCCTGCTCTTCGTGCTGGTGGCTCTGTCGTGTGTCTTCCCGCTCGTCTGCAATATCATTGTCATCTTCGTCCTCGTCCTCGTCCTCGTTGTCGTCATTTTCGTCCTCTCCCTCCTCTTCGGTTCCTTCGCCTTCGTCAACGTCTTCGGTTGCATTTTCTCCTTCGTTTGCTGGTTCTTGGTCGTTTGGGCAATGATTTCTTCGCCAATGGTCTTTTCAAAGTCTAGAATAGAGTCATCATACGATCGCAGCTCGCTTGGGAAGTCTTGATCAGATACGTGTGCCATGCTACGTGCTTTTCTGCTGTATCTAGGTCCACACTTGGTCCCCATACACCTTGCGATTCAATGATCCTTTTCTGGGTCTCTTCGTTGCGCGCTGAAAGCGCCCAGCCTGTGTTAGTGGGTTTGATGTCATGGATGTCTCGGGTGTCGAGTGCGAGTTTTTCTTTGAGCGCCAGTCGAATCTGGAAGCTGATTTTCTCAAAGAAGCTGATCCCTCCTTGAGGCGGAGGAGAATTCGTCGGTCTGCGTAGTTGCGGGCAGCGACGGGCTGTCTGCGTGTAGGGGCGATGCGTATGTCCCCTGGTATTTGCTGTGCGGCTGCTTTGGTGACGTCGGCAAAGCTCACTGTCTTTCGACGGGATGCTTGGTCGTTGGTTGGCGGTCCGGCAGCTGGTTTTCGGGTGGTTTGTAAATTTGGCTGTGACAGCTCGCCGCTAGATCCTACAATTTCGCCTGAGTGGAGGAATTGGTTCCAGTGGCGGAGCAGGGACTTGGTGAAGTCGTTTCCGACGGTGTGGGCGTAGCCATGGTCGAAGTTTCTTGCGCAAGCGGCGATGGACTCCGCAAAGGTGCGTAGCACGTCGGCTCTGGTTGTCATACGTTCCTTCTCCTTCTCGATGATTTTTTGTGTCTCGGATTCTAGGTCGATGGCGTCAAATGCGTCGACAGTTTCGTCTTCTTCATTGGCGAGGATCCCGTAGTAATTGGCGTTTGAGTTAATGTCTTTTTCTATGTGTCGGCGTTGTCCGCGGCCGTTTCTGGCGGCGCTTGTCGATCGTCGTACTGGGCTACTGCTAGGCAGAAAGGGACAGGTTGTTACTGGAGTGGTGCCTCTCATGAGCTCATTCTGTGCATCATGATGGAAGCCGTCCGGAAATTGTCGGCGGCCCCTCGCGCCGGTCGCGGGCGTGAACGATTAGTCAATCGCCATTGCCTACGGCTGCGCAAGAGCGCTGAACGGTTCGCTGGGTGCTGCTTTCTACTGGGCGTACGTCTGCGTGGTCGAAAATTTTATCTACAAAGGTGGGTACCAGTGTAGATGTAAGAGGAAGGTGATCATGGGCTTGACTTTGATTTGATTTTGATTTGATTATTTGCGTCCGTTTGCGCCCTAGAGTAGGCTTTAGGACGTGCTATCGAGCCTTCTACGGATAAATGTGCAGTCGTACCCGCTAAGTGGGCCGCCAACAGAGCGCGTATCGCA